TATATATATATATATATATATATATATATGCGTAATTTTACATGAAGAGAATGCAGAATATTTGCACCTAATTTTTATTTTGTATACTTTTCATTTGTAAACAAACCTGAGCTGGTCGTGCACTTGCATTCACTCACGAAAAAACTCACTCACTTACTCAAATGCTCATTCACTCGCTCGCTCGCCATCTGACTCACTCGCTCGCTCACTCACTTACTGGCTTGCTCACTCACACACTCGTTTGCTCAGTTGCGCGCTCTCACCGGCCGGCAGAGCCAGCAAAACAAAAATAAACAGAGAATATACATACATATGTATGTATGTATATTATATTGAGTAGCAAAGAAAGCGAGAGACCCCGCCGCCGCAGCCAGCAGAATGAATGTGCGGCATAGGTTGTATATTTCAGCAACGACACTCTTATTTCAGACGTCGGATCGGTTGCACGTGTTACGCGCAGTTGGCTCTTCGTCTTTGTAGGTTTTTGACTTTCCCGCTCAACAAAAAAATATATAAGTAATTTAATGAAACAAAATACTAAGAATTATTCTGCAATGATTAGGCAAAGCATTAGACGACAACAGCAAACAACAAATAATAATATAATAAATGTTTACCAAAAATAAGCTGAAACCACAAAAAGTATATCGGGGACTTACTTAAATCAAATAAAGAGTACCAAAAAAAAAGAAACCAAGTGATTCAGATAAAAAAATCCAATTTTTTTTTTGGAAAACTGACATTGCTAAAAATAAGCGAAATTTTCTAGACATCAAATTTACAACAATCACGGCAGGGCAGCAGCCGCCGCAGTCATCTTGAGAAAAACTTCCGTTTCGTCGAGTAAAAGTGAACGTGAAGTGAAGCCGCGAAGCTCGTCAAATACCGTTACAACGACTAGACAATTGGTTAGCGCCGAGTGTGTTCGTGCGTGGTGTGAGTTGTGCGAAAGCTGAAAAGGAAGCCGAAGGAGAGCAATAAATCATCGTAAATGAATTTTAAAGAAGTTCCATGAAACGAAATTAAAAGGAATTGCAAATTACTCAAAGACGCGCGAATCGACGTACAAGTTTTTATTGTGATTTTTCTTCTATTTTTTTTTTGTTCCTGCTAGCAGTGAGTCTTCACTATTCACACAGTTACAAGTTTTTGCGTGTGTTTAGTTCAATCATATTTAGCTTGTTCAATCAAGCATATTGTTAAAAAGAAGATACAACAATTAACGAATTGGATTACATTTTCATTGCATCTACTATTGGACGGACATCCGCACATACATACGTGTAGCAGAGGTAAGCTGAGTGCAATTTTTCGAGTATTAGTTTAGTGAAAATAAACAAGAGCTGTCAGACTCACGCACAAACGCATACACTTACATATGTATGTGACAACTATGCCGACACTTTTCGTTTTGCCACATCCTTTCGTTCTGCGGACAAGTAAGAGAGTGCGACGTGTTACTTTAATTTCTTTTACCGCTATCGTTGTGCGAGTGTGGGCAGAGTGAACGGAATTAGCTACTCGGGATAGACAGAGAGGTAAATGCATCAGAATGATGTCTGTCATCGGTTTAACTGTCTTTTCGTATTTGCGCAAGTGTGTGTACTTGCGCGCGCGCCCGCCTGTGTGTGTGTGTGTTGTGTGTGTTGTGTGTCTGACTGTCTGCGAGGCAAATCAACAGAGTTCGCGCGAGTTGCCAAGCGATTTGAATCGCAAATCAAATCAAATCAAACAATTTTTTTTTTTTATAATTAAGAGCCAGTGCCAGTGCGCAATGTTGCTCTGATAACTTTTTTGAACTGCTGCTGACGTCGGCAGCAGTAGCAGCTGTAGTTGCTGTTGCTTTGAGCTACTACACTTCGGATCTTACATCATTCTTAGGATGTTAAATTTTGCTGTCAAACTTTTTATTTTCTTACTTCTCTTCTTCACTTTTTACAAGATGGCTGCGTGCGTCGTAAGTGTGATACCTACTTTTATGCGTTTGCCTTTTCCTAAGAATGTCGCATGAGAAAGCTCAGTGAAAAGGAAAAAAAACTAGCTAGGACTAGGAATTCAAAGAATTTAAGTTAGATCGACGGGATTAAGGCAGAACGTGAAAGTCTTAAAAATAATATTTTGATACTCACTTAAAAGAAAAAAATATATATAAATTCAAAAACAATATTTTTTACAACGGGAAACAAATACAAATATATAACATATTTTTTTTATATGATAAAAAAATTAATTTTATAAAAGATTAATAGTTCTACAATATTTACATACTTAAAAATATATACATATAAAAACAACGCAATTAATGATGCTGTGATAAACAATATAAGACACTGTTGGTAATAGTATATCCAGCTCTTGTAGGAAGTCTATGGATTTACATTGAATACATTTTCCAATATTAGCCAAATGTTTTGAAATTGAATACAATTATTCATGGCCTGCTCTTCCCTCTCTCTCTCTCTTTCTTTCCCTCTCTCCCTCTCTCTTTCGCTTCACACAGTTTTTGCAGCTGGATACTGTGCTACAGTGCTACTGTTCTATAATAGAGCAGGCACACCTTACCCCCGCTCACCCCAAAGTCAGGACGTAATTTGTGAATAAAGGGGAAAGAGAAGGTGGCCAAAATGACGACCGTTACCAGCGGCATTTGCATCAGCAGCGATTTCGACTTGGACATGGATTTCAGCGACCTGATGGAACTCAACATCAACTACAGGCTGCCCAGCATACAGAACGACGTGGAGAGGATCGCCGCCGAGCACTCGCACCTGAACAGCTCCTCGCTGTTCGACGACATAGACTTCAAGCCGGAGATTCGCAACGGCGACTGCATGTGGTCCACCTTCGGCAGCTCCGGCACACACGGCGCCAGCAGCAGCGGCGGCAACAACCTCTCGGCCGCGTCCAGCTACAGTGAGAGCAGCGCCGTGCCGCCAGCCTTCGTCAGCGGGGGCGCGCTGTGCATCAAGCAGGAGCTGGAGGATGAGGATCAGCTCGGGGAGGAGCAGCACCAGCAGCTCGGCCTGGATCACGATCTCGACCAGGAGCACGACAACGACAGCAACAGCGAGAACTGCCCCCACAACAGCAACAGCCACAGCAGCAAGAGAATGAGGATGAACAGTTGCAGGTCAACTGGCGGCAGCAGTAAGTCCGCTGCGGCGACGACAGCAACGCACACGATTCAGATACCCAGCCGGGCGACGCAGCGGGAACCCACTATCGAGCCGTATATTCCGCCAGGCGGCTCGCTGCTGCGCAAGAGCAACACGCAGCACAAGCTGCAGCAGCAGCAGCAGCAGCAGCAGCAACAGCAACAGCAACAGAAGCTGCATCAGAAGCTGCAGCAGCAGCGCTACAGCTGTTTGATAACAAGCAGCAACAGCCTGCCGGATGACGACCCCATGCCGGAGGTGTTCAAGCACAACGTGGACCTGCGCGCCTGTGTGATGGGCAGCAACAATATTTCACTGACGAGCAGCTCCGACGAGAACATCATCGACCACCTGAGCCGGGAGCTGCAGAACACGAGCAAGGAGCGCATCGACCTGCCCTACCGCATCCCGAACGATCCGCCCATCATCACGGACGTGCTGGAGGTGCTCAACCAGCAGGCGCAGCAGTCGGGCCGCTCGGCAGCGGAGGCGGCCGCGGCAGCTGCCGCAACCCTGTCCCCCCCGGCCACGACGGCCACCAGCTCGGACTCCGACTCGGACTACGGCGATTGCTCCATGCGCCACATCAGCGACCACAGCTACACGCGCTGCAACGAGGTGGAGGCCAACCTGGACACGCCCTCAGACTCTGGTGAGTGTTGTGCGCCCCTCTGTTATACCTAGGATAATTATAAGAGTTTATAGGTCAATAGCCCCTCGATCCACCCCTTTCGCCCTCTCCCAATATCTAAGCGTCCTGGTGCATTTTCTGATTGATTCGATTCATGAATATCCCCCCGCATCGTGCATCTCTCAATCTCGTCCCGTTTCGCTTCGCCCCGCCCCGCCCAAAGGCATTCAACTAGTGTGTGCCGTGCTGTGCGTGGGTGACTGATGACGCGCCCAAAAATCGATCGCCTACGTCAACAGCAAACGTAGTAAACTTTTTGCTGCTGGTAGCACACACGCCCATACGCTTACACGCCCACTCGATGGGCATCGTTGTCAAGTTTTGGGCAGAGCTTTCATTGATTTTCCTTTCCCAGCGCACTCGAGCTCCCAAATAGCCCCCCTCCCCGCCCCCACCGACCCCATCCCCATTATTTGCACATTTCGCTGGCGCCTTGTAGCCTACGCATAACAGTGAACAACCCCCACCCAATGCCTCCTTCACCCCCAACACACCCCCCCTGTTGCCACGCGTGCTTTTCATTGCTCATTATGTGTCTGTGTGTGTGTGTGTGTGGCCATGGCGTCATCCTCTCGCACATTTGTTGAGAAGCATCCCCAAATGCCGCCATCTTGCGCAGTTTGTGCTACGCCCAAAAAAAGCTGTTTCTCTCTTACTCTCTCACTCTGTCTGTCGGTCTGTCCACCCATCCGCCTGTCGTTGGGCAACAACCCACGGCTCAAGGATGTCTGCGCTCATGCCACATGCCAAAAGCCACGTGGCGTCAGCAGCGCCACACCCTGCGCCCGGCCGTAGTTTTGGGGTTCAATGTCTTCTGGCCATTCTATCTCGTTGCTTCATACCATTTCCCGTAAACGCATTGAGCTGCCCTCGCCAATCTACTATTTCTCTCTACTATTACTACTAGTAGTACTACTGCTACTACTACTACTACTACTACTACTAATACTAATACTACTACTAATACTACTACTAATACTACTACTACTACTACTACTACTACTACTACTACTACTACTACTATTAGTATTACTACTACTACTACTACTACTACTACTACTAATACTACTACTACTACTACTACTACTACTACTACTACTACTACT